CCATCCTGTAATGGCCCCAAATGGTGGGTTAACCCGGGACAAAAATTGCCTTCAGCTAATCCAGGTATTTTTTGATATGGGTGGTTCTTAAAATGGGGGGTCCCCAAGTCATCATGGGTTTCAATGCGAAGTCATGGTCTAATGGCTGGATGATGCAAGGGGGTATCCCTAGGAAACCTCCATATTTGCACCATAAGCATTAGCCTCTTCCCGAAGCATCAATTCCAGTCAATCACTATATTTCTATTGCTTTTACCCCCAATTTTTCTGGAAATCTTATCAATTCCCTATATTCCATGAATTTCTTGGTGCTTTACATCCAAATCTTCGGATTTTTGGGTCAAAAACCCGAGATTTTCGTTCCAAACCTCGCTAACGCAGCTGCTCCACCGAAAACCGCCCTGCAACCGAAGGTCGACTTGGGCGACTTCGGGCTGGAGGCAGTTTCGACCTCAGAAACTCATGGGAAATTCACCCTGAAAGCCGGGCTGGTACCATCTGGTTATATGGAAAATCACCATTTTTAATAGGTAAACCATCTATAAATGGGCCATCTATACCATGGCTATGTTAAATAACTGGTTATGACTAACAGTTCGCCATGGAAAGATCCACCATTTTTAATAGGTAAACCATCTATTTCTATGGGGGTTATGACTAAGACTTCGCCATGGAAAGATCCACCATCCTATTAAGAACGGTAAACCACCTATTTCTATGGGCCATGGCTTAACCATGGCGAACTGTAAACATCATGACCAGAGGGTAGATGATTTTCCGGCCATTTTCTTGGTCCCATGTCCAATGTCAGGTAAAAGAAATGGTGTGTGGAAGCCAGGAATCGTAATTAAGAGGTTTATAGTGAACTCCTGAAATTTTGGTGGTTGAGTCACAGCTGTACTTGGAGAATCATTCCAGGAGTTAGTAAGTGGTTAGTAACACTGGTGATCGCAATCAGTTTCCAATTCCTGGCATTTCCCATGTTTTTTGCTGGGTGGACATCGCTTCAAAATCACCCATTTAAGCTGACAAATCTTCACTTCTCATGAGGTGCTTCGAAGCCGTGGAAAAATCCTGGGAATTATGCCAGAATCACCATTAATCATCAGATTTGCATGGACCTCCAAGCTGAAGCGTGGCCGGGTTAACAACCGCTGGCTCGCCATCCACTTTGGCCATTGCCAGTGTGGCTCTCGCCTGTTTGTCGGTCAGGCGGCGATTCGCCTCCTGCCCAGACGGAGATATGCCTCCTCCTGGCCCCGCTCTTGCAATGAACGGGATATGCTTTGCACCTGCACGTTGGGATTTCAGCATCAAGTCTACCGCATGGCCCCCGGTTCCAATGCCCCATATCCTCCAAGTATACCTCTCGTGAGGCATGAATAATACGCCGTCTTCCCGTCTCATGGAATGCTAAGTGGTTGATAGGCTTCCCAATCCTATTGGTTATCACAACCCACATGAAAATTTCTAGTATAAGTCCCAACAAATTCACACACAGCGTTTATGAACGACTAATCACCATTTAATCACCATTATTAAGTCACCACATGATTACCATGATTAATTAGAGATTTCTAACCATTATTGACACTGTTTGAAAGCCCATGAAAGATGATGCCCTTATTCAATTAACCAGGTTGATCCCCATCAACCACCACTATTCAATCACAAACTCGACCACTATTAACCAGGCTGTGCTAACCACTCCCCATTCATATTTACCATCATTCACCACTATTTCACCACTATTACCCTCTGGTAAACTAACAGGTTGCGAACTTGAAAATGGCCCAATCGAAATAGTGGATTTGATTTACCCATTAAAAGCATGGTGGATCTGTCCATCGTTTTTTGTCTGTTTATCAGAGGATAATCCCAATATTCACATGATTATCCCATAATTATCCCAATATTATAGTTACCCATGAAAGTCGTATAGTTTCTGCCATCATTTCTGAGGTAACCCATATAAATTCCATTAAAACCCATTGGCCCTTCCTCCGAAGATCCTCCGAAGATCTCCGGTAAAACACCATCAGGGTCCACACCGGTGGCCGGAGAGCCAGCGCTTCCTTCACTTGTTCACGCCTCGAGCTGTTTTGAGTTGGAACAGTGGAACAACTCACCGATTTTTTTGGGATTTCACTAGGGAAAATGATGATTTCATTAGAGAACATTGTGATTTAACCAGGGAAAATTGTGACTCTATGGGATTTAACTAAGGAACATGCTGATTTCATGGTGATTTAAGGGTTATTTAATAGGGATTTAAAGGTGATTTAGTGAGATCTAATGGCTTATGAATGGGATTAACGCTATGGTTATTAAACCCTGAACATTGGGATAGAATAACACTTAACCACTCAAAACATGTGGGAATACCCTTGGGTAAACTAACATAGATATGGAAAACCTACTACAAATGATTGGTTTTCCACATCATAGTCTATGTTGGTTAAAAAGGGTGGGCACGCCAATGCACAACCTACTATTTAGGGATGGTTTATAGAACCCATTGATGGTGATTTTTGAAGATGGTTTATTTTTGGATTTACCGTATGGGCGGGAATATATTTCAGATGATTTTAGGACATCTCACCAGCCAGATGTATTCATTTTCAAAATAACCATGTGGGAATAGACTTTTAGAAAATCCAATTAATCCAAGCCCAATAGTGGTGAATTATGGTGAATTTAACCAAATTTCAATCTGTTTGTAATTTTACAGATGTGGGAATTTCCACCGGTAAAACATGGTGCATGTCAATTTGATGATTTGCCCCAGAGCAATAGTGACTGGGATGTATCAAAATGATTCAAATAGCAGGATAGCCGTAGTGGATGTTAATACTGCATAATGCTGATTATTCCCGATTGTTTTTTAAGATTAAACCTATCCCATTCCCATATCCCAGAGTTCGGGATACCTAAGCTCATTGGGATTGACAATTCGGATGTATCAAGTCTGGTATGTTTGGTAGTGCCACTTGGAAAGTAGGTGAGTTCAACCCAGTTATCGTTGTATGTGGGCTATCATTAGGACTTAGCCCAAATTGTATTCAGGGTTGTCTCACCTATTTGCGAGGTGCGATGAACCACCAAGTAATCATGGCAATCTGGTTGGTGGTGCAATAACCATCTTGAAAAATGATGGAGTTCGTCAATGGGGTGGAAGGATTATCCCATATATGAAATGGAAGTCATAAAAATTCCATGGTTCCAAACCACCAATGAGTATTTTCATGGTATTTCAATGGGATATATATATATATATATATCTGGTTGGTGGTATGTTTTACCAAGGCAATATGTTTTACCAAGTCTTTGCTTGCGACAAGGCCACAGGGCCAAAGTAAGGGGTGAGTTGAGCGGCTGCAAGACACCCCGGCTGGTTGATTTTTGATATAGAGTTTGGGGATTATCGCTATCCAGTATATGGGGGTATTTATAGTATAACAGTATATTCCGGTGATATTAATCCGTTTATAATTTATGTATATGGATATTAGTAATTAATATGGGGGATTGTCACTATCCATTATGGGAATCTCGTTCTCCACCAAGCAATATCTAATGAAACGACCTTGCTGGTTTTGAGCACTGCTCAGGCAGGGTGTCAAAACACGACTTCGGGGCAGCAGCACTTTTGGGCTTTCAGTATCTCGCGTCAAGTTGATATTCTGCAGTGGAGCGGTGTCGCAATGTTGCGTGCGGCTTTTCAAACTCGCCCCAGATTTTAGATCTTCTAAATAAGCACGGCCCGTCTTGTCATTTATTGATACAATCACATTACACTGGCAAAAACAGGAGATCCGAGGTTCCAAAAAAGGAGGTTCCAAAACTGGTCAGGATCATCCCAAATATAAGTCGTACAAGTCCTACAATCACCAATTGGTATTGCTGAAATGGGTCAAGTCATCGGGTACTCAAAACATGGGATGATACCATGGTATGCTATGAAGTATGACCAACCCTTGACCCTTGTGGCTTTTCAGGATCTTTTTTTGCGTTTCCGCAAGCGGATACCCGGATATCCACGAAATTCATGGGCGAAATCCCCATCGAAACGCTGGTTCAAGACCTATATTCCATTTCATGGAGCCAACAGCGCCACAGAGCAACCGCTGACGCAACCGCTGTTGACATTGGTCACCACCTGTTGCGTCAGCGCCGCTTGCGTGCCACGTGTCGTTTTGAATTTGGTCATTGGGAAAGGCCAGGCCGATTTGGCTCTGGCGCCCGGTGCGAATGATGCGCGGTCCAACGAATCGGCCGTTGGAAAACAAGTACATCAACTGTTGGGTAATCGGATTCTCAAATCAGTTGTTAAGTAAAATCAGATCATCTTCCCACCTTATATTCCCATCTGAACTGGTTGGTGGTATACCTATCGCTCTAAAAAATATATGAAAGTCAGATTGGATCATCATCCCAACTATTGGGGAGACTAAAACATGTTCCAAACCACCAACCAGTTAATTTATCATTAATCACCATGATTACTCACCATTAATCACCATTAAACCACCATTAAACCATATTAAACCATATTAAACCATATTAAACCATATGGATCTGAAAGTGTTCTAGTTCTATCGATCTGAGTGTTTTTATTGCTGTCCTCTTTTGATTGGCGAATCTCCACGGCCAAGCGTGGCATTTTCTGTCCATGGCTTAATCCAATCGACTATTGTGTTGCGGAATGAAGGATACCTCAGCCATTTAAGGCTCCCCCTATGTTCATATCTCTTCTTTTTGCTTCCTCCATCTTTTGGACACTAAGAACCAGGATTTAGGTTAATACAATGATTATCTTATATCCATTCAGATTAATACCCCTATAGTTGTACCATCCGAAATTTCTGAAATCATCAGCTTTCGACTATCAGAATCATTCGTTGGACTGTGCCGCTGGGGACGTGAGCTTTCGGTGAAACCAGCGTGTGCCGCGTGCGGGAGAGGTTAGCGATGCGGTTCCCGCGTGCCGCTGGCGCCGCTCACTGTAGCACCCCGAGGAAGTTGAGGATTGCAAAAAGGATGAAGAGACAACCTTCATGAGAAGCATCAGTGGGTCTAATTATAATGTGGGTAAAACAATAAATAATAAACCACCCATGAGTGGGAATGGTAAATTTATACATGTTTATATCACCTAGAAACACCAATGACCATGTCCAATCTTGATCGATCTTGGATCTTTTGGGTTGATCCCACGGGATTTTCAACGGGTGGATCGCTCGCAGCCAGATGATCTGCGAAAGCACACGAGTTCTGGTGCGTTTTACCCAGGGTTGCTGGATGGGTTGCTGGGGTTGCTGGGATGATTATGAAGCTAGTGATGAAATGGATCATTCCCGAAAATTCCCTACGTTTAGCACCAGTAAGCACAACATGGAGTTCTCACTTCCGCCAGGCGCCAACTTCGTTGACAACATCTCTGACACGACCAAGTTGTGATCAAGTTGTACCATGGTTCAACGTCATCCTGGACTAGATTGAATATGGAAATACAATACAAGTCATCACGAAAATTGGAAGATGTTGGAGCAGTTCATATTCTACTTCAGGGTGAGTCTAGATAGAAATCTGGGATTCACTGTATGTATCCCTATGTGAGGTTTCAGTTTGGTATTAAAAATCAATCACGTCACCACGCTAGATCTATGAATTGGTTGAAGGGAACAATTGGAGTAAAACACCCCTTTACGTAGAGTGAAAACCTGGTTTCAACTATCTTGTCCTTGAACTCTATGCATTGAATCTAAGAATTGTAGTGGGCTACAAAACGACATGTAGGAGTAAAATGGAGTAGCAACAGCAAGGGGCGAATGGCCACGACTGTTTCTAGAGTTAGTTCAGAAGCAACGGACATATTGCCAACAGTGGAAATTATCTAGGAATGGATGGTGCAACGCAAATGCAGCTATCATCCGGATTTCAAACGTGGCAATGGAAAAACCCCCTACGAATGGAGGTTTATAGCTGAGAAAATCATCGAACTAGATGGTAGATTCCCATTAATGTCCCATTTACCCTCTGGTATATTAACATAGATTCTCAAAATCACCCATTTCTAGTGGACACGAATCTTCCAAACCCTATAGGCCAGGGTCTATGTTAATTTACTGGAGGGTATATTCCGTAGATATCTTCGGGGATCGGCTTAGTTTCAACAATGCGTTTCCAGCCAAACAGCGTGTCCAATGCGTGTTTTCGGTACGTAGCTTGTTCCATCAAACTGAACAGGACTGATGACAAGGCCCCAGTTCTTAAAATTTTAATGGGCCTTCAACTGCCCCTTTTTCCGAAGTCTACCTTGAAATACTGGCTGATAAATGGTTGATATGGTTGTTACAAAATAGTCGATCATGATCATTCCCAATTAACATTGGATATATAGTATAACTCCCCTAACTAATCATCAACCAACGGTGAGTTTTTGTGGTTTCCTCGAATCCCTGAATAAACATTGGGATCTGAGAGAAAGGGCCAAGACATCATGTGGATTCCCAGTATATTCAGAATAATTAGCAACCAACCACCATTTATCAATGATATACCCATTTCTTCGATGCTCAAAACATCTAAAAACCATTGAAAACCTATTATAGTCAAATCGTGTTAAATCCCCAGTTAAAAAGAAAACGAAATCAGCGCTGGTCGCTGATTTTCAACTGCGAACAACACAAAATGCTGCCCAGCACCGACCTCCTCCAAATGCTACATATCGTTGAGGAATCCTCTTGCCCAAAAACCTGTCGGGACTTCCGGGGCCATCGGGACGATGGGATTTCCATGGGAGTTTTGTGCGAATCTAGAGATGTCACCAACAATACATGGAGTGTCTGAAAATGGGACCGGTATCCCTGAAAATGAACATATATATATATATTATATATATATATATGTTAGAGAGACCTTTAGGTACCATTTTGTTCCACGTGTTTGTGATAGTTCTTGAGGATCACTAAGATGCCATCTCCAAGGCGCGCACACCACTCTAACAGCAGCACCCTGAGCAGCACCCTGCAGCGGCACCCTGCAGCGGCACCAATAGCCCGCTCCAAGACGCATATATCCAACTCATCCTATACTTGAAGTAAGAACCCAATAGCTTCGCAAATGTATCAGGAGAAAAATGTCAAAAACATACTTCCAATAGCAAATCTCTTTTTCCGTGGACTCTCAGAAGACTCATGACCTGCTGTTTTGAAATCCGCCAGGAAAACCATTAAATCCGAATTCAGCGTTGGGTCATTTTGAATACCTCCCCAAGTTTTGGAACACGTAGGTTTTTCTTCTTGATGTGAAATTCACCCGCCAGGGCAAAGCAACTTAATCCTGAGTTGCAGCCAGGTGTCCAATGAACTGAAACGTCACTCATTAGATAGTACTGACTCTTGTCACTCCAATGGCGCATGGCGCATGCTATTGAACATCCTAAGAACGCCCCAGGTGCCCCCGCCTTCTTCCGTAACAGGCGACAAGCACGAAAGAGCAGGAAACCAAATGGCTAACCGGACAATCGGACTTGTGTTGGATGGAAACAGAAACGGTAACACCGAGAAATTGGCAGAAACACAAGTTTCTATAGTGTCAAATGATGGCTGGCCCGAACTCTAGAGTGTCAAGTGTGCAATAGTTGGATTAGAATTCGGAAACAAGATTAAAAAATTGCAATCTACAGGATTGGCTTTGATTCCTGTTCCTAAAATGTTGTTGCCTGCAACCCTGGAGCAACAACCATGGTTTCCTGTATGTTTTTCCTTCACATCAATCCAAGTCAATCCATCAAGGATATTGGTTTTCTCTCAAATTCCTCAAGCAATCATCAAATCATTGCAACAATCCAATGATTTTCTCACTCAGTCAAGTTTCCGTTCTGAGGACTTTACACCAACCAACGCGGCAACGCCCAGAAGGTAGACCAAAATTACCACGACACGAGCCTTTGAACCACCACAATCCAAGTTTGGGATGAATGTCTAGGAAAAGCTATCAAAAACGGCGAAAAGAACCATGTTTAACCAAGGGAGTTTTGGTACCTAACTTGTTTGAACAAACACAAGTGCTATGTCCATACTCCTAACATCTCAGTCACAAAGGCCCAGCCTGGAAAAGTTTCTTCTTGCGAGCCATGGGCGTCTTGAGGAAGTTGAGGGTCTGCCCACCATATGTTGGATATAAACAGATATAAACTACGCATGAGGTGCCCAAAGAAGTTCCATGTTTGTCAAGCGGCAAGTTTAAGCCTTCACTGCCACTGTTTTTGGTTGACCCTATGACAAAATGGATTGAATTTTGCACCATGTGCCACATACAGTTTTCGTGCACAAAATTTGGTCCTTATGCCCAGTTGACGGATATAGAAATCGTCTGTTTTGATCTGTCAATTGGGTTGTCTCAAATTTTGGACCCTGGAAAAACGGTAAAAACATCAATATGTCGTGAGTAAATAAACGTTTTTGAATATGTTTGGTTGGAATTTTATGGCCATTGCACTATCCAGGTTACGAGACTTTGAAAATGTCCTGTGTTCCAATAGTTCTGATGTATCTGTTTGGATTCTTTGTCACGTCCATCCCGTGATCAACTTGTCATGTCCACGAGTTCAGTTTTGCTAAACAATACAATTAAAGTTTAAAGTGAATGAACACAACCCCCATTTGCACCAATGGCCACACCCTCTTTGCATGCAAAAAAAATATAAGGCAAACTTTAGGTCCATGCTAGATGCCTGGGCTGCACCAACAGAAAGCAAGTTTGTATGACCCACCCGACTAGAAACTTTAAAACATCTTTCGTTCAATGTCTTTCAAATCCAAATTGATCATTCCAATCTCTGCCCTGCACTCTCCTCATCGGCAGAGAGTGCCTGCAAACCAGTCCGGAAGAAAACGGAAAGCGAGTCAGCAAGGGGGCACAGCGTAACACAGGGTTCATTCATATAGCCCTCCAACTGACCCAATATGTTGTAGGGCCGAACATAGGCCCGAAGTGGCCCAATATAAGCCCAAAAATCGTAAATGGCCAAACAAAACCCCCAACTTGACCCTGAAATGACGGACAGGCCCAACATAGCCTTGAAATGACCCAATATGGCCACTTGGGCCAAGATAAGCCCAACATATAGCCCTCCAACTGACCCAATATGTTGCAGGGCCGAGCATAGGCCCGAAGTGGCCCAATATAAGCCCAACAAAATCGTAAATTGCCAAACAAAACCCCCAACTTGACCCTGAAATGAAGCCCTCCAACTGACCCAATATGTTGTAGGGCCGAACATAGGCCCGAAGTGGCCCAATATAAGCCCAACAAAATCGTAAATTGCCAAACCAAACCCCCAACTTGACCCTGAAATGACGCAGGATAGGCCCAAAATACACCCCAAATGAATCTTAATAACGTTACTCTCCCGTTGGGGTTGAAAAAATGCTTCTACATTGCTCCGAAGGTTTCACGGTATTTACAGTGTTTTTTGCACATCACACATCCCAAAGGCTGCATGCAACATAGCACCAAAAATTCAAAAGTTGAGCTCCCATGCAGGAAAAATGGCCTTAGACAAACCCAACATAGCCCTCCAAGACATCAAAATGAAAAAGCACCCGCATCGCGTCAACGCACATCTTCCTTTAGGTCTTTATGTTGATGCCAAAAAGAACGTTCTAGTTCTAGCACACTTGGCTCGAAATAGCCGCATATGGCCTTATAGCTCTCCAAGATCTCAACATAGGCCTGCACATGACCCCAGATAGGCCCAACGTAGCCTTGACATGACCCAATATGGCCACTTGGGCCAAGATAAGACCAACATATAGCCCTCCAACTGACCCAATATGTTGCAGGGCCGAACACCTGCACATGACCCCAGATAGGCCCAACATAGCCTTGAAATGACCCAATATGCCAATATGGCCACTTGGGCCAAGATAAGACCAACATATAGCCCTCCAACTGACCCAATATGTTGCAGGGCCGAACACCTGCACATGACCCCAGATAGGCCCAACATAGCCTTGAAATGACCCAATATGGCCACTTGGGCCAAGATAAGCCCAACATATAGCCCTCCAACTGACCCAATATGTTGTAGGGCCGAACATAGGCCCGAAGTGGCCCAATATAAGCCCAACAAAATCGTAAATTGCCAAACAAAACCCCCAACTTGACCCTGAAATGACGGATAGGCCCAACATAGCCTTGAAATGACCCAATATGGCCACTTGGGCCAAGATAAGCCCAACATATAGCCCTCCAACTGACCCATTATGTTGTAGAGCCGAACATAGGCCCGAAGTGGCCCAATATATGCCCAAAAATCGTAAATGGCCAAACAAAACCCCCAACTTGACCCTGAAATGACGGATAGGCCCAACATAGCCTTGAAATGACCCAATATGGCCACTTGGGCCAAGATAAGCCCAACATATAGCCCTCCAACTGACCCAATATGTTGTAGGGCCGAACATAGGCCCGAAGTGGCCCAATATAAGCCCAACAAAATCGTAAATTGCCAAACAAAACCCCCAACTTGACCCTGAAATGACGGATAGGCCCAACATAGCCTTGAAATGACCCAATATGGCCACTTGGGCCAAGATAAGCCCAACATATAGCCCTCCAACTGACCCAATATGTTGTAGGGCCGAACATAGGCCCGAAGTGGCCCAATATAAGCCCAACAAAATCGTAAATTGCCAAACAAAACCCCCAACTTGACCCTGAATCTGAAATGACGCAGGATAGGCCCAAAATACACCCCAAATGAATCTTAATAACGTTACTCTCCCGTTGGGGTTGAAAAAATGCTTCTACATTGCTCCGAAGGCAATTTTTTCACGGTATTTACAGTGTTTTTTGCACATCACACATCCCAAAGGCTGCATGCAACATAGCACCAAAAATTCAAAAGTTGAGCTCCCATGCAGGAAAAATGGCCTTAGACAAACAGAACGTTCTAGTTCTAGCACACTTGGCTCGAAATAGCCGCATATGGCCTTATAGCCCTCCAAGATCTCAACATAGGCCTGCACATGACCCCAGATAGGCCCAACGTAGCCTTGACATGACCCAATATGGCCACTTGGGCCAAGATAAGACCAACATATAGCCCTCCAACTGACCCAATATGTTGCAGGGCCGAACACCTGCACATGACCCCAGATAGGCCCAACATAGCCTTGAAATGACCCAATATGCCAATATGGCCACTTGGGCCAAGATAAGACCAACATATAGCCCTCCAACTGACCCAATATGTTGCAGGGCCGAACATAGGGCCGAAGTGGCCCAATATAAGCCCAACAAAATCGTAAATTGCCAAACAAAACCCCCAACTTGACCCTGAATCTGAAATGACGCAGGATAGGCCCAAAATACACCCCAAATGAATCTTAATAACGTTACTCTCCCGTTGGGGTTGAAAAATGCTTCTACATTGCTCCGAGGGTTTCACGCTATCTACAGTGTTTTTTGCACATCACACATCCCAAAGGCTGCATGCAACATAGCACCAAAAATTCAAAAGTTGAGCTCCCATGCAGGAAAAATGGCCTTAGACAAACAGAACGTTCTAGTTCTAGCACACTTGGCTCGAAATAGCCGCATATGGCCTTATAGCCCTCCAAGATCTCAACATAGCCCTCCAAGTGGCCCAATACACCTGCACATGACCCCAGATAGGCCCAACATAGCCTTGAAATGACCCAATATGGCCACTTGGGCCAAGATAAGCCCAACATATAGCCCTCCA